GGGGGCGCTTAGATGGCTCAGTGTCACTAGAAGGTGGCACCATCCCTAGGTCCGGGTTCTTTTGGGTTAGAGGGCCGTCTTTGAGGCTTGAAGGGGGCGTGCTTCAGGCGCCTCTTCTCTTTAAATGACCACAGCGTAAGGAGGGGTAGTTTCTCCGTGGCCAGCCCCTTCCTCAAGAGGCCTTCAGCCGCTCCCTCACTCTCTTTCAGAAGACTAGGGTGGAAAATAAGGGAGACGAGAGTAGGCGGGAGCCCCAGGCGGTTTTCGCCCACAAACGCTGCCTCTGTAGGAGTGTGTGGGAAGAAGGGCCCCGGAGCAGAACAATCGAGGCTTCCCTCCCCCGTTGCCTGAGAAGAGAGGGACTTGCTGAATAGTGGGGAGGGCCACACGAATGGAGGGGGCAACTGGAGGGTACCAGGCAGCCTGGAAAGTTGGGACAAATACTCAGAGGGTGCGGTAATTTATAATCCCAGAAAACTGAGCAGGGGCGCCAAGGGTCCCCTGGGTTCACTGAGAAGCCAAGGAAGAGGCCACACCCCTCGCTCTCAGCTACCTGGGCAAGGAGTAGCCCCTAGTTTCCTAAGTTCACTTTAATGTGGGATGTTACAGGCAGTAATGTTCAGGCTGCTGAGTGTGGGGGGGAGGACTGTAATTTTGGGGAAAGTGGGTCTAGCCATTTCAAGGAAGTGCTAGTGGGTCTTCCTGTTCAGGATTGTGCTGCCCCAGACCAGAAAGATCAAAGCAAAAGAAGAGGCAAGGGTTTTCCCCATAGCTGGTTTTCTGTGCTTCTGGCTAGTCTGGGACTGCCGGCATGGGCACGGCTATGCCTCTGAGCAGTGCTCAGTTCTCAGAGTACTCGGCCTTGGGCACTGGGCAGAGAAGGCATTCAGAAGAAAGGAGGAGGAGGAGGCAGGAGAGAGAGGAGAATTGTTAGTGTGGGCTGGTACCCAGCGGGGCACTTGCACTCACTGCCTGTCCTGCCCTCCTTCCCAGGGCAGGCGCCCCGACCATGGCGCTGCCTCGAACGCTGGGCGAGCTGCAGCTGTACCGGGTCCTGCAGCGGGCCAACCTCCTCTCCTACTACGAGACCTTCATCCAGCAGGGAGGCGACGATGTGCAGCAGCTGTGTGAAGCCGGTGAGGAGGAGTTCCTGGAAATCATGGCACTTGTGGGCATGGCCACCAAACCACTCCATGTCCGACGTCTACAGAAGGCCCTGAGAGAGTGGGCCACCAACCCAGGGCTCTTCAGCCAGCCGGTGCCTGCGGTCCCTGTCTCCAGCATCCCACTTTTCAAGATCTCTGAGACAGCGGGGACTCGGAAAGGGAGCATGAGCAATGGGCACGGCAGCCCGGGAGAAAAGGCAGGCAGTGCCCGAAGTTTTAGCCCCAAGAGTCCCCTTGAGCTTGGAGAGAAGCTGTCACCACTTCCTGGAGGACCTGGGGCAGGGGATCCCCGGATCTGGCCGGGCCAGAGCACTCCAGAATCTGATGTTGGAGCAGGAGGAGAAGAGGAGGCTGGGTCACCCCCTTTCTCCCCACCTGCAGGGGGAGGAGTCCCTGAGGGGACTGGGGCTGTGGGGATGGCTGCCGGTGGGACTGGGGGTGGTCCAGACCGCCTGGAACCGGAGATGGTACGGATGGTGGTAGAGAGTGTGGAGAGGATCTTCCGGAGTTTCCCCAGGGGTGATGCCGGAGAGGTCACATCCCTGCTGAAGCTGAATAAGAAGCTGGCACGGAGTGTGGGCCACATCTTTGAGATGGATGACAGCGACAGCCAGAAGGAAGAAGAGATCCGGAAGTACAGCATCATCTACGGCCGCTTGGACTCCAAGCGGCGGGAGGGCAAGCAGCTCAGCTTGCACGAGGTGAGGGCCCAGGTCTGCTGGGTTGACTTCCAGGGTTCAGTCCATTGTCCTCTGGGGATTCGTGTTTCCTCAGACTCTGGATCACTGTCTCCTTGGCCCCCCAAGTTCCCCCAGCCCCAGCCGCTACTTTACCTCCATCAACTGAAGGGCAAGCTGAGGTAGCAGCCCACCTGTGCCGCTGCTGAAGCCCCTCAGATACAGATGAGGCCCTGGTCAGGACGCTGAGTCCCTGCCTCCCAGCTTCGGGGAGTGAAGGGGTAAAACAGTAGGAGACTCAGGATTCACACTGGCTGTCCTCTTGCCACAGCTGACCATCAACGAGGCCGCTGCCCAGTTCTGCATGAGGGACAACACACTTTTACTTCGAAGGGTAGAACTCTTCTCGCTGTCCCGCCAAGTAGCCCGAGAGAGCACCTATCTTTCCTCCTTGAAGGGATCCAGGTGAGACCCCCTTTCCCTGGGCCGCCTTTGGTTGGAATCCTGCCAGAGTTGGAAGTCTCCTCACTTGCAGCTCAGGCAGCTCTAGGCCTGCTTACCACCTCCCCGCGTGTCTTCCTCTTGCCAAGTCTGCTGTCAGAGGCCTGTTCTTCACTCCCCACCCCCCCACAATAATGATGGGAGATGTCTATCCAACCAGCCTCTTGGTGGAGTTTTCCTAGCCAGATTGTGTTCCCTGTGCATCCTGGGACCCTCCCTAACCCTGCCTTCCCTATTCTAGGCTTCACTCAGAAGAGTTAGGAGGCCCACCACTGAAGAAACTGAAGCAAGAGGTACGGTTTTGGGGTTAGTGGGGACAGGGCAGGCTAGCCTACCCTGACCACTGCCTTGCTCGGTCTTCACTTCCCAATTTTGGGCATCCACAGGTTGGAGAACAGAGTCATACCGACATCCAACAGCCTCCTCCAGGCCCTGAGTCCTATGCACCCCCATACCGCCCCAGCCTAGAGGAGGACAGCGCCAGCCTGTCTGGGGAGAGCCTAGATGGCCACTTGCAGGGTGAGTGTAGTACTTCTGCTTTGGGGGAGAGCGGGAGTGGGCAGGTGGGTTGCAGGAGTGAGCCAGGAGTCAGCTGCCTGGAGCAGGGCTGGGAGGTCTGGCTGGATGGGGGCAGAAGAGCCAATGGGAATGAAATGTCGGTTGAGGGTGGGTACCGTTGGCGGCAGCCCCCCGACCTGACCAGTGCCCATGCCCACAGCTGTGGGGTCGTGCCCAAGGCTGACGCCGCCCCCTGCTGACCTGCCCCTGGCATTGCCAGCGCATGGGCTGTGGAGCCGCCACATCCTGCAGCAGACACTGATGGATGAGGGGCTGCGGCTCGCCCGCCTCGTCTCCCATGATCGCGTGGGCCGCCTCAGCCCCTGTGTGCCTGCGAAGCCGCCTCTCGCAGGTGAGGCAGCCAGCAGTGCTGTCCCTAAACACCCCAGGCCCACACAAGGGTGCTTGTTTTCTAGGACCAGAGGGGAGGAAGAGGGATCCGACACGGCTTTCAGAGCAGTAGCTGGGGCTCCAGCTAGTCATACCTTGAGCAGGGGCAAGCTACTGCTGGGTTGTTTACTACGATGGGGAAGGTCTGGCTCAGGTGGGATCTGTGACGTGGGGGAGCAGGGAACAGAGCGAGGGGTGAAGGCCAACAGTAGAATCAGCAGTTAAAGGAAGCCAGGCTAGAACTGCCGAATGCACGGGTGTGGAGTCGCAGGGAGTTGTGGGGATAGGGTTCCCCAGCGTAGAAGCCCAGGAGCCCAGAGCTGGGCGCTTTGTGTGTGGATAGGAAAGGAGTAGGCCGGCAGAGGGCCGGGCAGCCGCTGGGCTGAGAGTGACGCAGCAGACAAAGCCACCAACCCTGGCTTGGTATTTTTAAACTCTGCGTGGGTGGGAGAGTGGGGGCGGGGACTGGAGGGGGGCTTTTCTTGAGGGAGAAGCTGGGAGTCTAGCTTCCTGTGTTTACCCTGATTTGGCTACCAAAACCTCGGGGTGGGGGGGGGCTCTTGGAGGGTAGGTGAGGCCTGGGAGGGGGCCAGAGATGAGTGGGGGTGACTGAGCTTGGGGAGGGGGAGGGGGAAGAGGTCAGAGCCAAGCCGCCCCCGCAGCTCCTGACAGAACCAGAAATTCCAGCAAGAGCAGAGGCGGGCGAGACAGAGAAAGAGAGACACACAGAGACAGAGAACTACACACAACCGAAAACCAAAATAGGAGGGGTAGCTGCATACACTTGGGCATGGAACCCCCGTGCACACACAGTGGGCAGGAGGCTGTAATCGAGTAACAGGAGCGATCTGCGTGTTTTCCTGTGCCGGCCTCACTCAGAACAGCCCTTCGGCTCAGCCTCCATGCCTTCTCTCCTGACCCACACCTTCTTCCTTCAGAATTCGAGGAAGGCTTGCTGGACCGATGCCCGGGCCCAGGACCTCATCCCGCTCTGGTGGAGGGTCGTAGGAGCAGTGTGAAGGTGGAGACCGAGGCCGGCCGGCAGTGAGAGTGGGGACGCCTCCGGCCACCATCCAGACTTCTGGCTCACTCAGACCCCCGAGTTCTCTGTCCTCGGACTCTAGTCACCACCCTAGAAGGATCCTTCTGCTGCCCTCCTGCCACCCATCTGCCCCGTGGGCACAGGACTATGGGGCTTCAAGCAATAACAAGCAGGGGCCTGGCCAGAGGACACTAGGAGGGTGCACGGTGCGCCCTGCCCTCACGCGGCTCAGGGGCATGGACTTTGCCTCCAGCCTGCTGGGGCTCTCCCTCCCCTCACCACACACACCCATCCTCTAAGAGGCGGCCACCCATGGTATGAACAGGCTGGGATCAGCTTGGGTGTGGGGAGAACGAACTTCCTGGGGAGGTCTAGCGTCTGGAAATGGCACCGTTTGCCCCGAGACTGGGGTCTCCTGGAAAACTGGGTCTCCCCACCCCCATTTTTGTGCTTCTAGTTTGTTTCTTTTAATTTAACAAGTGCTGCGGTTTGCCCACCCATCCTCATCACCCCCACCCCCTCCCGGCAGTTCATTGTACTGTGTATGAGGGTTCCCCCGGGTTCCCTCCACCAGCCCCTTAGAGGCGGGGTTAGACCCCGGGTCTCCTCAGGCCAGCAGGAGGACTGCAGCACCTGTCAAACTCTTAGAGTGTCTTTCTTTTCAGATCGTGTACAGTAGATTATTTATTTTGTTATTTTGGAATAAAATTTATTTTATGGCTTAGGATCCATGACCCCCCTCCCTCTAGGGAGGGAAAAGGGAACCGCATGAGGTGTGAGTGGAGAGAAGCCAGCGGTGGATGGAAAAGTACAAGAGAAATAGCAGTCGGGGCCACCAGCGCCCAGGATGCCTCACAGCGAGGCCTGTATCCCTGTTCAGTCCTTGGGCTCTAGGAAACACAGGAAGCATGGAGTCGCCAAAGGCTATAGCTATATGCATGTCACAGCGACGTAGTTACGCTCAAAATTATTAGGTTACTCTGAGCCTTTCAAATATATGTTGTCACACAGGCAAAAGCAGAGATACATGTCCTGTATAGTGAGCGTGTGACATCTGTAGGTTAACATTTCTCGGGTAAACATTGGCACAGCTACACACATAGACGCCTAGCTTTTGTGAGGCTCTCAACTGCCACAGCCGTTTTGGCAAGAATTTGGAGCTTTGAAGGAACTTTTAATCTGGGCAAAATCCTTACCAGTAACGATATGCCTACACCCCCTTTTCCCCCCACCCAGGGTCTCCTGACCTCTGCTCCAATGCCCTAAGTCTACGCCCTCTATCCGAGGCTGTGTGTCTTGCTTTTATGCATGTGTTCCAGGTCCTGGCTTAACACAGGAGCCCCTGGCGCCCTGACCTGCTCTTGCCTAGTCCCTCCTGCTGAGCGTGTTCTGGTCCCTGTGTGTGTAGGCGTGTGTGTGTGTGGTGTGATGCAGGCATGAAGGTGCCTGTTAAGACATCAGAGCCTGAACATCCCTGTGCCCCCGAGCTGGAAAAGGGGGCCCTGCTGTGGTTGGAAGCACGGAGTGCTGTGGTTCCACACGCTGCCATGCATCCTCCCAGCCAGTTCTTTCCTCCTGACCAAGGAGCAGCTGGAGATGGGAGGCACCTGTGTGAGCAGGTGCCCAGAGCAGGTCCATAGAACAGAAGAGGCTCTGTGTCTGGGCTTCTCCAGCTGGGATCACCAACTGGGGTTGGTCCGTAGGTCCAGGTGGGACATAGAGATCCCAGGTTGCCCATAAGGAGATGGTTGCAGTAGGGGCTGGGCCCCCAAGGATCCTCCTCCTGCCTCCCCTTGGCCCTCCAGGAGCAGCTTGGTGAGGTCCTGTTCCGTGGGTGGCAGTAAGGGAGGGAACATGTCTTCGTGGATAGTTCTGTTTCCTAGGCCCACTTCACCGACCCTGCAAGGAGGAGGGGAGGTAGTGGAGCCGGCTAGGCAGGCACTCTCCCAGCCTCACCCCCCCCGCTCCCCCCCCTACTCACCAGGTGGCCTGGGGGAAACCTCCCACAGGCTGAGTTAGGCAGCTGTCCTCTGCCATGGCCACATCTGGGCAGAGCAAGGGTTCAGGGCTGGACACAGCATGCTCCTGGGACTGACACTGCAACAGGCCCCTGCCAGGGGTCAGAAGAGAACATTAGGAGGCGGTGGTAAGGAAAGAATGGAGAAGGTGGGGTCAGGAGGATTTTGTCACTTACTGGGGGTGAGGCTGGTCAAAGGGTAGGCTCATCTGGCTCATGTTGGGAGGCATTTGCAGGTGAGGAGGTCTGGAAGCAGGAAGGAGAAAATAGGAAAGAAATCAGGCAGAGGGAGAATATTGCAACGTCCAGACAGGTAAGTCAGGAAAGCTGCTGGGCTTATCCTGACTTGGCATTTCACTGACTAGCATTCCCTCAGCAAGCCCTTTCTGCGAGATTTTTCCCCTGAAAAAATGGTGTGTGTGTCCAATTGCCAATGTTTCTTTCTTTCTCTTATTTCTTGTTTGGCTTTTTGCGACAGGGTTTCTCTGTGTTGTCCTAGCTGTCCTGGAACTCACTTCTATAGAAATAGCTGGCTTTGAATTCAGAGATCTGCCTGCCTCTGCCTCCTGAGGGCTGGGATTAAAGGTTGTGTGCCACCACCGCCCAGCCCAATGCGTTCTTGAGACTGAACAGTGGTTATGTTTCCCAGGCCCACTCCACATCAGTTCCCAGAAGACAGAAAAGCCCTTGACTCAGAGCTGATTAAGCAACTTAATGCTACTTGGGGAAGAAAAAAAGTCTAGGCCATTTCAGGGATCGTGAAGATTAACAGATAAAAATCATGACATCCGCCGGGATGCATCTCAGTGGTAGAGCACACACTCGGCATATGTTCAATCCTCAGCCCTAAACTCGACCCCCAGCATCATAGCTATCAAGCAAACACACAGCAAGTAAGTTTCCGTCACTTCACAGGCAAGAGAGAACATGCTAACAGTGTTTGCTGTAAGCGCCCAGCTCAGCCCTACACATTATGGGATCATCTCAGTAAGTGCTTGCCCTTGAGCAGCAGGGAATGCCATTATTATCATCATTGCCGGAGGCTGAGCAATCTATACACAGTTCACAGCGCTGGAACTCAAAGCCCAGCGATCTGAACACAGGGAGGATGGGCGTCAGCCTGTGCTGCTGGTCCCACGTAAACCCTGCTACCCACTGCTTGCCATCAGATGCTGCCCCACCTCATCCCCCACGGGCTCTGACTTACTCCTGGAAGGCTGGAAGTACACTGATTGACTCTTCTAGGGGGAGGTTTTGAAATGAGTGGATGGAATGAGACGTCGGAGGGTACCTGAGGAAAGAAAGCAGACCCTGATGCAAGCCCTTCCCCTGATAACCCTGTTGGCGCGCACCGGCCCCTCCTTGTCTCTCAGCCCCCTTACCCCATATCTGAGCTGAGTTGCATGGAGGTATCAGAGGCCATTCCAAGATCATAAGACGGCACCATGGTGGGCATGTGAGGCTCTGGAGTAGGGAGAGGCTGGTCCCTGAGAGAGAGAAGGAAGCACATGTGACATTGCTTCCTGCAGAGAAGCTCCAGTCCCCATCTCCACCCGCTAACCACACCATGGCGCTAACCTTTCCACAGTCATCTTGATGGCAGTCGAGACGTAACCCCTCCCGTCCTTCCCCATCTGTTCAGCTGCGGTGGGAAGGAAAAACTGTGGTGTGTCACACTATCGAGGAGGTGGGAAGGAGGACGGTTGATGGGCGGGTGGAGGGGAGGCAAGGGAAGAAGGGTGTGGCTGAGACAGGGAGAGATGGGCGACAGGAGGCATCAGAACTGCCCGCTCACGCTTATAGTGGCTCCGGAAGGCCTCATCCTTGGGTTTCTTGGGGTAGAGGTTTTTTAGCTGAGCAAGATCCCGGATCCGGTCCCCCAGTGAGCGAATGGACAGGTCTTTAGCAGAAAATGGCTGGATGTTCTCTATCTGTGGGGAGCCTACAAGAGGAATGAGACCCTGAGTCTCCCCTGTCCAAACTTCTCTTCCCCAAGCCCCACACAAGACCCACTGTCAACCACCGTGTGAGAGAAGGTCTAGCCTGGAAGGTCTGGAGTGAAGGAGGCACACTCATCTCCATTGCCATGGGAGTTGAAGGTTAGACCATAGGAGGGCAAGAAGTCAAGCCTAAAGAGGAACTTCCTGAAGATCAGGTGGACATCAAGGATTGCCAGGACACTTCCTTCCCCAGAAACCCAAGAGAACACAGCATGGAGTCAGGGCTGGCTGTGGAGACTCACCATCCTGACCCCGGATAACATGGGCAATGGTGATGCCACCAATCTCAGAGTCGCTAAAGCGGAGGAGGAAAGTTCCGTCTGGCTCGTTGAGGAGAAGGCTTGTGACGTACTGTTTGCTGATGAAGCCGATGATCAGCCTGGGCAGAGTGAAGGAGGGGACATGGATGCGGAGGTGGACACTGGGTGCGGCGAGGGAGACACAGGTACAGGTGCGTGGCCACCTGGGGCCCGGGACTCACCGGTCTGACCAATAGCTCCGGAGACAGCGTTTAGTGAGATCTAGGACACCATCAAACCACTGCCAGAAAGTGAAGCCGCGGCCCAACAGGATCTCCTGAAGGGTGGAGAAGAGCAGAGGTGAGTAGGGGTGGGGGCTGAGCTGGAGCTAGCACAGAGTTGAGAGTCAATGGTTGAGAGCTAACGTGGACCTAAGGCCCATCAACGGCAGCCACTGACCACACTGGACATTCCTTCAGGCTTTTCCATATACTGATTTATTTGGATATGACAGTAATTCTGGACATAACACAGTCATCTTTACAACTGAATGGATGCTGAGGAAGGTCAGAGTGGAGATTTTTTTCTTGTTGTGTGCTTTTTTTTTTTTTTTTTGAGACAGGGTTTCTCTGTGTAGCCCTGGCTGTCCTAAAACTCACGTAGACCAGGCTGGCCTTGAACTCAGAAATCCTCCTGCCTCTGCCTCCTGAGTGCTGGGATAAAAGGCGTGCACCACCAACGCCCAGTCAGAGTGGAGATTTTAGTCAAGCAGGCTAGCATGGGAGTCCCTCATAACCACTGTGCTAACCTCTGTCCTCAAGGGGGCCTGGTAAAGGTCCATTTCAGCGGAAGACTGTCTACAACTGTCCCATGTCCTGTTCCCGTCAGTAATGTATTCTCTGATCACATGAGCTCCCCCCCTCCATCTTTCGTCTGTTTAAAAGAAAAAGGACCTAAAGTGGGAGCCAGGGGAAGGTACGCACCAGGAGAGGTGACTTAGCATTGTTTAGGTTTCTGTGCACCACGACCACCAAGGACAGAGGTACATGATCTCCTTTGTCCTTGAAAGTGATTCAGTCCTGAGCCATCTCATTTTGGAGACAGAAAAATACAGTATCTAATATGAAAAGTCAGAAATCCAGGGCTCCTGTTGGCCATGGCAACTCATGCTGGTAAATTTCTGGACCTAGAATGGAGGCTAAGGCTGGAGGCGTTTGAGGTCAAGGCCAGCCGGGGCTACACAGTGAGTTTGAGATTGGCCTGAGCCACACAGCAAAAGAAAAAGGAAATCTGGGTGTCCACCTTAGTCTCGTCACCTGCTGTGAGACCTGGAACAAACTACAGGGCTCACTAAGCGCAGACTTGTCGTCTGCACAGGCTTGTCATCTGCGAAAGACACACAAGCAACACTTACCACCCGAAAGGGATGTGGGACAGACGGATTAAGGTGTTAGTATACATAAAGTGTGAAGCTGTACCTAGTGTGTAGTAAGCGGCCAGCAAATGGCAACAGCCTCACCCAGAGTTTGCAACAAACCACTTTTCTAATGGGTCAAAGTCACTTTTCCAATCAGAACTCTGTTTGCACATAATCAAACCGAATCATTCGAATCACAGCTAAGAAAGAAGGAAGGAAGGGAAGGAGGAAGGAAGGAAGGAAGGAAGGAAGGAAGGAAGGAAGGAAGGAAGGATAGGCCCCCAGACCAAAACTAAGGGATGCTAGAAAATGCCACAGAATGGAAAAGTTTTCTCTCTGGGGCACGCCATGATGGAGGCACTGTGAAGAACCTAAAACTCTGTCCTGATCCCTGGACAGAGGCTAGAGAGGTCTTCAGTGCCCCAAAGGCAAAGAGCTTGGTAGGAAATGGAAGAGCAGGCAAATGACCTTGTTGAACTGTGACCAAGATACACAACGGTGCTGGAAGGCCTCCATGCTAAGGCTGTTGTCATTGAAGATCTTCTGGGCCAGGAAGAGGAAGTGTTCTGGTAGCAGTCCCCGGCTGGTCCCCACCTCAGCCATGAACTTGAGGTTCAGGGTTTCGCACATTTTCTCCCAGGGCACTCTCTCAGCTACCACAAAAGGCACACGGTCCTGTGTGGAAGGGAGAGAGCATGGCCAGTCTTCTTCCAGCGGCCTTCATTCATTGTTCCCAGTTCCCTGAGCTGCCTCTTACAGCATCACTGTCCGAGCTGGCTCACATACAGTGATTTCTCAGTAGCTCTTGGTGGTGCCATGGCCCAGACAGCTGTTAGGACCGTCATGGAAAGAGGTCAGAAACACAAAAGCAGACCCAGTGGGAAGACATAAGTTACGCATTTGAACATGCTTGCTGCCGCCAGGAGGTGGTGGCGCACACTTGTAAACCAGCACTCAGGAGGCAGAGGCAGGTGGATCTCTGTGAGTTTGAGACCAGCCTGGTCTACAGAGCGAGTTCCAGGACAGTCAGGACTGTTATATACAGAGACCTTGTTTCAGAAAACAAAACAAAAAGAATCCACTGTGTCCCTATCTCCCACTCTGGGTCTTTTCTTACCACCTCGGAGAAAGCATTGTCCCACAGGATAGTGGCTTTGGCATTGTTGTCTTGGTTACCATGGACGATAACCACCAATGGCAGAGACAGGGCCTACGGGGTAAGGAGAGAATTTTATCCTTAGTGGGGTCAGAAGTGTCCTTGAAGAGCAGAGTGTTACTCTAGTGCACTGGGGTGTTGTTCGTTCACGTGACATAGTCAAAGGCTGGTGGTGTATCCCTGGACACTTTCTGAAACTCAGTGTACAGAAGCAGTTGCAAGTCAACGCGACAAAGCCAGACTTTCAGGGCTCAGAAGCCAATCCCAATGCCTAGAAGCTGTGTGAGCCAGGCAAACTACGGAATCTACGACCCAATGTCATCATCTGTAACCTGAGGCTAGTGATAGAGCCTGTCTTACACTGTTTGTTGATGTAAGTTTTCTTGCCTGATAGGGTCCCACCACCCCTGAGCCCCAAATAAACAAACAAGGCTTATATATTATTAAACTATTGGCTGATGACTAGGGCTTCTTACTGGCTAGCTCTGTCTTAATTATTAACCCATTTCTATTAATCTGTGCATTTCCACGTGGTCTTAGCTTACTGGAGAAGGCCTGGTGCATCCTCTCTTCCCTGGACTCACATGGTAAATATGGCGACTCTGTCTGCCTACGTTTCCCAGAATTCTCCTCATCTCCTAGCCCTGCCTATACTTCCTGCCTGGCCAATCAGCCAGTGTTTTATTTATTAACCAATAAGAGAAACATATAAGCCGGGTGGTGGTGGCGCACGCCTTTAATCCCAGCACTCGGGAGGCAGAGGCAGGCGGATCTCCGTGAGTTCGAGGCTGGGCTGGACCAACAGCCTCAAAAACAATACAGAGAAACCCTGTCTCGTAAAAACCAAAAAAAAAAAGAGAGAGAGAAACATGTAATATATACAGAAGGACACCCCCATCAACTGTTATCCAGAAATATGTCAATGTAGGTTTTTGTTGTTGTTGTTAACACAAGCTAGCGTAGTCTGAGAAGAGGGAACCACAGTTGAGAAAATGCCTCTATAAGGCTGGACTGTAGGCAAGGCTGTGGAGCATTTTCCTAATCAGTGACTGATGTCAGAGGGCCTAACTTATTGTGAGTGGAGCCACCCGTGGGAAAGTGGTCTTGGTGTATAGAAGCAGGTTTAGCAAGCCCACGGGGAGCAAGCCAGTAAGCAGCATTCTCCCAAGGCCTCTGCTTCAGTTCCTGCGTCCAGGTTCCTGCCCTGCCTCAGTTCCTGCCTGACTTCCCACACTGATAGACATGAGCTGGGAAAAGTGAGATGGAATAAACCTTTTCCTCCCCAAGTTGCTTTTGGCCATGATCTTTATCATAGCAACCGTAACCTAACCAAGACAAACCACCAGGCTGTGTGTGCTTGCATATCACTGGGGACAGTGCCCTGTGCTATAATTAGTTCTTGGCATAAGTGAATGTGCAAGAGCACCGGTAAGAGTTAGGTGGGTGTGGTGGTGGCGTAGGCCTTCAATGCCTAGCACTGAGGAGGCTGAGGCAGGACCTGAGTTAAAGCCAGCCTGGGCTACAGAAGAAAAGGAGATGGAGAGACAGACAGACAGATAGACAGAGAGACAGAGTGAGACAGAGAGACAGAGGGAAGAGAGAGACAGAGAAACAGAGAAATGGAGAGAGAGACAGAGGGAAGAGACAGAGAGAGGGGGAGGAGAGAGAGAGAGAGAGAGAGAGAGAGAGAGAGAGAGAGAGAGAGAGAGAGAGAGAGAGAGAGAGAGAGAGATGAAATAAAATGAGAAAAAGCGTTTTTGGGTCAGTAAGATGCCCAGTGAGTACAAGTGTTTGCAGACAAGCCTGGTAACCCATTAGATCTCCAGAATCCCAAGACACCCAGAAGCCACATAAAAGTAGAAAGGCTGTTCTCTGATTCTCTGATCTCCTCCTGTGCACTGTGACACAGACATACTACCCCCACACCCACACACAATAATGATGAACATAAGATTTAAAGGAAAAGAGTTTAAAGCCAACGTGGACTACATCATGAGACCCTGCCTCCAAAAAAAGTGAACAAAGTAAAACAAAATAACAAAGCAAAACAAAACCAAACAAAAAAACCTCGGTTGCTGCACAAGCTATTCCCTGGATGTGTCCTCCGGGTGTTGTTCCTCTCGGCTCTGTCTGGCCCCAGTGTGTTATCTCAGAAACATGGGCTATGAGGCAGTTATGAGGAGGACGCGGGTCCCAGTGTGTGAGGAGGAGGACGCGGGTCCCAGTGTGTGAGGAGGACTCGGGTCCCAGTGTGTGAGGAGGACTCGGGTCCCAGTGTGTGAGGAGGACTCGGGTCCCAGTGTGTGAGGAGGACGCGGGTCCCAGTGTGTGAGGAGGACGCGGGTCCCAGTGTGTGAGGAGGAGGACGCGGGTCCCAGTGTGTGAGGAGGACGCGGGTTCCAGTGTGTGAGGAGGACGCGGGTCCCAGTGTGTGAGGAGGACGCGGGTCCCAGTGTGTGAGGAGGACTCGGGTCCCAGTGTGTGAGGAGGACGCGGGTCCCAGTGTGTGAGGAGGACTCGGGTCCCAGTGTGTGAGGAGGACGCGGGTTCCAGTGTGTGAGGAGGACTCGGGTCCCAGTGTGTGAGGAGGACGCGGGTTCCAGTGTGTGAGGAGGACTCGGGTCCCAGTGTGTGAGGAGGACTCAGGTCCCAGTGTGTGAGGAGGAGGACGCGGGTTCCAGTGTGTGAGGAGGACGCGGGTTCCAGTGTGTGAGGAGGACTCGGGTCCCAGTGTGTGAGGAGGACGCGGGTTCCAGTGTGTGAGGAGGAGGACTCGGGTCCCAGTGTGTGAGGAGGACGCGGGTTCCAGTGTGTGAGGAGGACGCGGGTCCCAGTGTGTGAGGAGGACTCGGGTCCCAGTGTGTGAGGAGGACTCAGATCCCAGTGTGTGAGGAGGAGGACGCGGGTTCCAGTGTGTGAGGAGGACGCGGGTCCCAGTGTGTGAGGAGGACTCGGGTCCCAGTGTGTGAGGAGGACTCAGATCCCAGTGTGTGAGGAGGAGGACGCGGGTTCCAGTGTGTGAGGAGGACGCGGGTCCCAGTGTGTGAGGAGGACTCAGATCCCAGTGTGTGAGGAGGAGGACGCGGGTTCCAGTGTGTGAGGAGGACGCGGGTTCCAGTGTGTGAGGAGGACGCGGGTCCCAGTGTGTGAGGAAGACTCGGGTCCCAGTGTGTGAGGAGGACGCGGGTTCCAGTGTGTGAGGAGGAGGACGCGGGTCCCAGTGTGTGAGGAGGACTCAGATCCCAGTGTGTGAGGAGGACGCGGGTTCCAGTGTGTGAGGAGGACGCGGGTCCCAGTGTGTGAGGAGGACGCGGGTCCCAGTGTGTGAGGAGGACGCGGGTTCCAGTGTGTGAGGAGGACTCAGATCCCAGTGTGTGAGGAGGACGCGGGTCCCAGTGTGTGAGGAGGACACGGGTTCCAGTGTGTGAGGAGGACTCAGATCCCAGTGTGTGAGGAGGACGCGGGTCCCAGTGTGTGAGGAGGACGCGGGTCCCAGTGTGCAGCAGGCTGGGGTCAGGGTCACCACTCACCTGAAGGTGAATGAGGTGCTTGTTGGGCCCCAACATGAAGCTGGTGGAGAAGAGCACTGCGCACTTCTCCTCGGTGACAGACTCTGTGCCCTTCCGCTCACAGCGCTTGATTTTCTTCAGGAGCTGCCAGGGTGAGGAGACGGAGAACAGGGGAGGGTGAGAGGCAACGGTGCTGAGGGCGTTTCCTCTCTGGGCCCTCAACACCCTTTCCAAGGAGAGTCACACACAGTCTGCGGATACCCTCCTGAACCCTAGGCCTCTCACCAGGTTCTTGAACAGGGCAGAGCAGCAGTTCCCAGGAATGCTGTTCTCCAGAGGCACGGTGTTGTTCATGATCTCCCCAGTGCTCTCCCTGTGGGGGCGAGGCAAGGATGGGGTGGGAGTCAGAGTGTGAAGAGTCTCACCTGTGGTGAGGAGCTTGGGTCCACAGGGAACGGTGCTGACCACTGCTGTCACTGGCCCTGGCTCTCCATGTCCCTCCCTCTCTCCCTCCTCTCTCTCTCTCTCTCTCTCTCTCTCTCTCTCTCTCTCTCTCTCTCTCTCTCTCTCTCTCTCTCTCCCTTTCTCTCTCTCTCCCCCCCAAACATTTCCCTTCTCCATTAGCCACCACAGTTGTCTGTGCTCTGTCTCTCTCTCTCTCTCTCTCTCTTCTCTCTCTCTCTCTCTCTCTCTCTCTCTCTCTCTCTCTCTCTCTCTCTCTCTCTCTGTGAGTAGAGTGTGTGTCTACCACTGAGCCCAGTACCTTGACATGCTAACCCCCCATCCACCGCTGACTTGTTTGTTTTTTAGCTTTTATTAATACTGCTGTTGTGTACATACACATGGAGCAAGGGTGCATTCCTACTGAAGTCAGAGGGTGACTTTTAGGAGTTGGTTCTCTCCTCCCACTTTTACATAGGTCTAGGAATCAAATTAGCATCCTTGGACTCACGCAGGAAGCCCCGCTGTGCCATCTTGCTGGCCTCCCTCTTCTTGGGTTTTTAAGAGAGGAGACTCCATCTTGTCCAAATCCTGATGACTTCCCTTGAAGAGACTCCCCCACCCCCTTCCTCTGCCTTAACTAGTGCGTTCAGAGTCTCGGCACTCTAATCCATGAAGCCAGCCACCCAGTTCCTCTCCATCACCCCGCCACGCCCCCTCCAAGCCGGGGGCCAGCCTCCACTTACACTCCAGTCCCGGGCCCTTGTGGCAGGCTTAGCTCTCTAGCCTGTTTCTCTGTCACCATGTCGGCCCTGACCAGCGGGGGCTTGGCTGAGGTCCCCAGGAACTGCAGACCCAGCAGGAACCGAACTCCAGCCTGGAACTTAGTTTGTGTCTTCAGAACCTGAGGGGGCTGCTTCTCTACCAGGAAAGAGCTAGAGGAGAGAGGAGTGTTAGGGCCTGGGTCCCCTCCAGGCAGCCCCTTCACTCCCTGGGGTCTGCTTACAGCCAAGCAGGGGCCCGTGGTGAATACCTGGTCACAAGGGCTCGCAGGACTTCATCCAGGCGGCTGATCAGCGATGCCCTGGTCTTGGGCTCGAGCTCCCCGCTGGCTGCCCCCACCTCCTGTTGTAGCTGGGAGTAGATTTCCACCAGGCTTTCACACCTGGGGCCAGGGTGGGTGTCAGGGAGCACAGAATTCAAGCTGTTTTCTTCAGCCCAAACCCAGGAGAACACAGGATATTTATTGTGTAAGCAGGCACGGGGTGGGTAGTGGGCGTGGCTGCAAGGCACCTGGACTGAAGGGGGTTCCTAGGCCTAGACTCCCTGTGGAGAGCCCAGTGGCCTCTTCCTTCAGTTCCCGTGCCTGAGGGAAAACTAGAAAGTGCAGTCACCCCACAGACCAAATAGAAAATGGATTCTCAAGCCAGGTGGGGTGACTAAACATCTATAATTCCAGTACTTGGGAGACTGAGGCAGGAGGGTTGCAGTGAGTTCAAGGGTAGCCTGGGTTATATTGTGAGTTCCAGGACATCTTATAGTATAAGATGCTGTCTTAAAAACAAACACACACAAACCGGATGGTGACAGCCAATGCCTTAACCCCCAGTGTTCAAGAGGCAGAGGCAGGTGGATCTCTGTGAGTTCCAGGCCAGCCTGGTCTACAGAGCGAGTTCCAGGACAGCCTCCAAAACAATACAGAGAAACCCTGTCTCGAAAAACCAAACCAAACAAAACAAAAAAACAGAAACATACAAACATACAAGCCAGCCTCCTTATTCCTCTGGACACGGACCTGAGGATAGAAATGGTGACTGACTCTCTGTGTCTCCTCAACTGAGCTACTTGGGAAAAATCCTCGTGGACAGCTGTGCCCAGCCTGCAGGCACTGGGCTTCTGTGAGTCCTGGCCTTCTCCAGAGCCCCTCTCCCTCACACGCGTGTACCATGACCAGAGAGGACAGTACCCACCCGCCCCAGCACTCTCCCCTCCCAGCATCCCCGCCCCCCTTACCTTTTCTGCAGCCCCGAGAGGCTCTCCTCAAAGGGGGTGCCATTCCCTGCCAGTTGCTGCTGCCGCTTCCAAATCTGGATCCTTTTCAGCACCAGGGCCTGGGTGACCTCCAGGTCTCCCACAGTCCCCTGCAGCATCGCGGCCAGGTCCTAGCAGCAGGAAGGAGCCTGAGCCATGGGCACAGTTACTTTCTCCCCTGGCCTCCCACGCCTGAGCCTGTCAACTCCATCTGTCCGACTCCCCGCCCTTTACCTACCTCGCTTGGACCAGTGCCGTTGGCAGGACTTTCCATCAAGCTGTGCAGAGACACTGAGGGCAAGGGCAGAAATCGGGGTGTACAGAGAATGGAGATTCACTTGAGGCAGAGGTCCAAGAAAAGGTCACTTCTAAACCCTCCCAGACCCCTCTGCTGTCCAGGCCTTGGGCCCCACCTTGTCCAGCCTTGGTGCCTTGCTGCAGACTTTCTCGGAGAAGGCGGGTCTCCCGCACTCGGTGCTGAAGCCTCCCAAGGGCTGTGGTGAACTTGAGCTCTTCCTGCTTCTGGTGGAAGGGCACTGGCAGGTGACGGAACTGCACGGGAAGGAACAGACGCCAAGAGGTAAGTCACCACCCATTCCTCTGCACCCGCCCCTGGCCTTCCTCGAGTCTCCTCAGAATAAGGCCATTCTCCTGGCAGCACTAGCTTCTTAGCCTCGTTCTGCCTGAAGCCCCCTACACTTGGTTTGGGGTTCACTTGAGCCCCAGGAACTTCCTTTAGTTACCCTGGCCTAGACCACTGAGTCTTTTCTGAGTTTATATTCTTCCTAAGTTTTCATGGTTCAGGCTAGGATCCACCAGTCCAGGAACCCAGGGTGGAAAGGGGGTAATTTTACTCACTAACGCTCCTAGTGACCCACTAAACACATTTTTGCTTCCTGTTCCCGCAACATTAAGTTCCGTTGGCCTAGGAGTCTTGGTTCCAGCCAGGGGAGCACTCCAGCCAGGAGACACAACAAACATTCCATTGGACCCAAAGCCCAGACATCCCCCCTGGCCTCTTTGGGCTTCTGATGTCCCTAAACCAACAGACTAAGAGAGGAATAGCAGTGTTAGGAGGAGGAAAGATCTAGATTACCATGGGGAAATTGGATTGCCTCTCCACAATGGAGGTAAGAAGCATTATGACTGGAGTGTAGGAGATCTGTTAGGACGTCTCTTGACACTACCATACCCTGTCATTAAAGTTCATGAGAAGCTACAACAGTCTAATCCACGCAGGATGACAAAGGACACAGACCCCCCAGGAATGAAGGTGTGGGTCTCTCCTGCAGGAAAAGAGCCAGGACCTGCTGAGGTGCTTGCAGAGGGTGGAGGAAATTCAGAATGGGTGGTAGATGGTAGTTATAAATACCAGCTAAGGGGCTGGAGAGATGGCTCAGCAGTTAAGAGCACTGACTGTTCTTCCAGAAGACCTGGGTTCAATTCCCAGCCCCCACATGGCAGCTCACAACTCTCTGTAACTCCAGTTCCAGGGGATCCCACACCTTCACACAGGCATACATGTAGACAAAACACCAATACACATAAAATAAAAATAAATAAACAAGACTTCGCAGTAGTGGCACATTCCTTTAATCCCAGCACTTGGAAGGTAGAGGCTGGGGGAGCTCTGTGAGTTTGAGGCCAGCCTGGTCTACAGAACAAGTACCAGGACAGCCAGAGAGTAAGAATGAGAGAGAGAGAGAGAGAGAGAGAGAGAGAGAGAGAGAGAGAGAGAGAGAGAGAGAGAGAGAGAGAGAGAGAGAGAGAAAGAGAGAGAGAGAGAGAGGATATCAGTGCTTATAATATTTAAGTTTGAGACACTAAAAGAATGTCCCTCAAGGGACAGTCCACCTATTTTATAATGTGCTTGTGGTTGTACATGGAACAGTTACATCATGTTAGGTATAATGATGACACGGGTATTGTTTTCATTTGGAAATTAAGCATGACATAAAGAGAGATGATTGTGTGTCGATTTTATAGGGGGTGGACTTACAATGGCTAGTCTTGGTTGTCAATTTGACTATACCTGGAATTAGCTAAAACCTAAGTGGCTAGATATACCTGTGAAGGATTTTTTTTCTTTTTCTTTTTTTCTTTTTTCTTTTCTTTTTTCTTTTTTCTTTTTTGGCTTTTCAAGATGGGTTCTGTGTAGCTCTGGTGGTGTTGGAACTCGCTCTCTAGACCAGGCTGGCCTTGAACTCACAGAGCTCTGCCTGCCTCTGCCTCCCGAGTGCTGGGATTAGGGAAGACCCCCCTTTGGTCTGGGCCACAGCTTCTGCTGGCAGCCTACATAAAGGACATGGAAGGAGGACGCTTGCCCTGTTCGCCCGCTTGCTCTTGCTCTCCCTAGCTAGTCCCTTCCTTCACCGCCACTGCAGCCTCCTTCTTCAAGCTTCTGGCATACCCTGGCGTTCAGGAGACCAGCTGAGACAGGCAGCTTCATGGACTGAACAGCTAGTAGATTCCTGGACCTCCCACTGGTACACAGCTATTGTTGGACTAATTGGACCACAACCCATAAGCCATATATATGTATATGTATATGTATATGCATGCATGCATAGACACACAAACCTATGTGTGTGTATATATATATATGTATATAAATAAATAAATTCATTCTATAAGTTCTGTTCCTCCAGAGGACCCTTGGCTAATACAAGTGGGAAGTGGGGGTATCACAATACCTCTTCTATAACAGCTTTTTTCTCCCCTTGAAGTATTTGTCTGATGGTGGCCACCAGCTTTAGGGGGTCCCTCTGATAGATGCTCTATAAAAGTGAAAGTGACCAGCAATTAGTCTCACTCTACCCGTGACCCCTCCCACCTCCAATTCCTCACCCCCATTCATAGAGATGATGGCAGAGAGCATAACTGTAGGCTCTCAAGTCTCATACATTTGCATGCTTTAAAAACCGATTTGTGCTGGGCGTTGGTGGCGCACGCCTTTAACCCCAGCACTTGGGAGGCAGAGGCAGGCGGATCTCTGTGAGTTCGAGGCCAGCCTGGTCTACAGAGCTAGTTCTAGGACAGTCTCCAAAACAATACAGAGAAACCCTGTCTCGAAAAAGCAAAAACAAAAACAAACAAACAAAACAAACAAACAAAAAAACCCCCACCAATTTGTGGGCTGGAGAGATGGCTCAGAGGTTAAGAGCACTAGCTAGTCTTCCAGAGGTCCTGAGTTCAATTCCCAGCAACCACATGGTGGCTCACAACCATCTGTAATGAGATCTCATACCCTCTTCTGGCCTGCATGCCAGAACACTGTATGCATAATATAAATAAATCATTAAAAATGATTTGCATGCCAGCTAGCACCTAACCACAGGAATACCATTGGCTTTCAACATCTACCATCCAACCAATTTCCTTCCGAATCCAGTGCTCACTCCAGCTCTACCTTGACCCCACCCCCCTTCCCCTCTTGCCCCACCTCCAAGGTGCTGATGTGTTGCAAAATGGTGCTTCCTTTCCCCTGCTCTCCGGCTGAGGTCTGAAGACGCTGGATAGTGGCTGAGAGTAGGGCACTAGCCATGTTGTAGCAGAAGGCATCTGAACCAACCAGGAACTCCCTGTGGGGACATCGCGGTAAGGCCGCCTCAGGCTAGGGCTTCCTCAGTGCTTCTGAGCCTCCACCCTGTAGTGGAGAACTCAGGGGTTCTTTTTCTCCCCCCTTCCTCTCTGGGCGGTGCTCTGCCACTGCAGCCATGCCTCCTGCTCCCCACCCTGCCAGCCACGAAGAGAAACTGCTCCTGTCCCAGCCCTGGTGCCCCACCAAGTCTAGACTATTACTTACAAACTCAATCGGGCATTCTGCCAGCAGGAAGGGCTCTAAAGAGAGGGAAGACAGGGGGCGGTGGCGGGACTCACCAGGGCTGACTCTCCAGCCAGTCAGCCAAGAGATGCCGAAGGTGCTGGGGAAAGTCAACGTAGAGCCGTTGCAGTTTTTCCGGGGGCATCTTGGAAATCAGACCCCACAGAGACATGATCTGGGGTGTGCAGGGTGCCTGGGAAAGGAGAGCAAGGCCGTTCAAAGAGGCTCCCAAGAAACTCAGCTTAGTTTCTGGGGCAGCCACAGCTCTTTCATACAGACGGTCCTGCCAAGAACTTCCTTCAGTCCTGCTGGGCCTAGAACATTGCATCTTTCCATAGCTCAGATTTCTTCTAGTTCCTCATGGTAAAGTCCCAGAGGGTTGACTTAGGATGTGAGGTGTCACAGTCCTTCTTCCACAACAACCTTCCCCCCCCCCCTTAATTGGTTATTCCCATTGTCAGGGTACCTTGGCCACGCCTGAAACAGGGCAATACCTTCAATGGTAGACACGGGCAAACTGAAGAAGTACAGCCAGAAGGGTGGGGTGACATGACACGAAGATGCAAGACAGAAGGAAAAGAGGACAGAAGATTTCCACTGTAGTTCAGGACCTGCTCTGGCTCTGGGGTAAAAAGACTGTACTCTAAGGACCTTGATCTTCTATGAAATACGAGGGTTAAATGAACAGAGCACTTTCTGACATTTTGGTTTAAGATAGCTGGCTCTATGGAACACTTTGCTCTTAAGCTCCTGAGCTCAGAGAATCCTTTCATCTCAGCCTCTCGTGTACTGGGACTGCAGATACATGCCTTTGCTCCTTCTGAACATTTGAAAACACTAGACAATTTTAATTTCAGGGGTGCTGTGAGCAAACTCAGGGTCTTGTATATGCTAGGCAAGTGCTCTGAGTCTATCAGAGGACCTCCCTATGTAGGTTAGGCTGGCCTCAAACTCGGAGAATCGGTATGCCTCTGGCTCCTGGGTGCTGGGATTACAGGTGTGCACCATAAGATCCTCTGGTCTCCACTTCCCAAGTGCTGGGACTACTGACATGGACCACAACATTTGACTCCAATTTTACTTTTTAATCCATGTGACACTAGTGTCCGGAAAGGACACTCCAAGACATCATTTGGATACTTGAGACCATGGATAGAGCCTGAAACAGCATGTAGCAGTTACTCTTGTATCTATTATATTTTCTCCCATATATATGCAAAGTTTAATACATAAATCGGACACATAAAGAAATTAGCAACAATAGAATAGATTATACAACATACTGTAATAAAAGTTGTTTAAAGTTCATTAATCCCTTTTCTGATATTTTCCATTTCACGTTCTCAGAGGTGACTTACTGTAGGTACCTAAAGCCATGGAGAGCAAAGCCACAGGTAGGGAGGGTGCAAAGCACCGTTGGAGCAAGTGTGGAGCAGGGACTCCACTGGGCCTGCCTCCTCTCTCCCTGCTCTCCCTACAGGTGTCCCTGGAAGACGTTTAAATCTTACAAGATCCTTGGAGACAATTCCACACCCTGGAAAGTGCCTGCCTAGCATCTGTAAAAGTCTAAGTTCCATGCCCAACACTGCCAAAATCACCAGGCTCGATGATGAAGATGATGGCAGAAAGGTAATGTCTGCTATTTATTATGCACTATTTCATAGATATACTCAACACATTTTAGCTCATTGGAACCTCACAACCGTGTGTGTGTGTGTGTGTGTGTGTGTGTGTGTGTGTGTGTGTTAAGGAAGAAGCCCAGGGCCTTATACATGCTACATAAGTGCTCTATCCCTGGGCCACATCCCTGTCCACTCACAACAATTATGTATGTATGTATGCCTCTGGAATTATATATAAATAGTTGTGAGTTGCCATGTAGGTGTGGGAACCAAGCCCAGGTCCTTTGGGAGAGCAGTCAATGCTCTCAACCACCGAGCCATCTTTCCAGTCCTATTTTATAAAGTATGAAATTATCCCTCTTCCTAGATGAAGAAACTAAGGCTCAGGAGGTTATTTAACTCGGCCAAGGCCACGGGGCAAGGAGCTGGTAATTGGCCACTGTATCTCTATGAGAATTAGTCACTACACTGTACTGTTAGGATTCCTTCCAGCTCAGAAACCCAATCGCCTCAAGAAAACAGAGGGTAGGAAGAATGGGAAGGGGAACAGGAAGAGGGAAACCAGAGAAACAGCAGGATTGGCCATGGAGACAAGAGCCTGGAAGAGTGAGACAACAAGAGAACCTACCCCCCAAAAACAACAGAGGAAGAGAAGAAAGGAGGGAGAGGAGGAGGTAGAAGCAGGAAGAGAGAGCTATCTCCCTGCCTTCCCAGGGGCCTCAGAGTGGGCTGGGTGGATCAATGGTTTCCCGGGGGCTCTCAGTTCACACTTCTCATAGTGTCCTCTCAGAGAGGAAGAGGAGGAGGAAGATGGATGGAAACTCCCTGGGTGTCCCCGAGTCCTCCTGCTTCTTGAGCCTTTCAACTCCCCAAGGGCTCCCTGGTGGAAGGAAAAGAGGCCCCTTCTCAGGACACTGCTACCCCTAACCATCCTGTTTCTCCCCGACCTGTTTCTCCTAGCGCCCCACCACTCTGACTTCCTTTGGTCTAAATCTGCCAGCCCCTTTGGGTGGGGCATCCTAAGGAGTCACATTCGGCTTGTTTTCAAATTCAAGGGAGAACCCTATTCTGTCTTCTCCCAGTTTCTGGCGGGCTCAGATCCCAGACCTTTGGCCCTTACCGTCCGGGGGACTGGGGCCCTCCAAGCCACAAGCAGCTCCCATTTCCCCTAAATCCCCTTGCAGATTGACTGAAGTCTCCTCCTCCTCCCTTCCCAGAACCCATGAAGCCCCTATTTCTCCCCTTGCGCACCCGGTAACGGTGCTGGCCAGGTCTACAGGTTTGCGTTCAGTTCCCTAGGGAGGGACGCAGGGAAGGCGGAGCCACACTGCAAGAGGCGGGGCCAGCGCTGCCTTCCAGACTCCAACCTCACCGCGGTAGGGGAAGCCCGACAGCCCAGGAGGTTCTTCAAAAGCTTGGTGGCCCGAGTTCTACCCTGCGCCCTTTCCCCCTGAGCTCCGAGTCCGTTGATCGTGGGACCCCAGGATCAGAAGTCAAGGGCTTCTCTGAGTTGCCCAATGTGTGCATATGGCGGTGGCGGTGGGGGCGGGAAAGGGTGCGAGGAGGTGGAGCCAGGTCAGCACCAGGAGGGTTAACCCCCGGCCGGCGGGCCGCCCTCCCTCCCACGGGGAAATCTCAGCCTTTTCTGCAGCCGAGCGAGCCGTGCGAGCGAGGGGGAAATTCCCCCTCCTCCGGGGCACCATGAGGTCTACCTCTGGGTCTCGTTCACCCTCCAGCCACACCCTGAACGGGAACCTTTTAGGCGGGCATCAGCTAGGGGTGGAACAGGCTGGGGCGAGGGGGCCTGGAGCATCAACTTCTAGGGAGGGGCAGCCACGTCTACCCCACCCAGAGGACCCCCTCTTTCCTCGCTGCTCCGCGACTTTTCCATGTCCCGGGAGGTGCAGGGCCGAGGGTCGGGGGGGGAAAGTGAAGTGACGCTTCTGGGAGGGGACTGTGGAGGCCTGTATCCACCCGAGTCCTTCCAAAGTTGGAAACTGCCAAAACCCAGTGCCACCAGCCACTAACACCAGCAGAAACCATTTCCAGGGGACCAACCGCCCCGCCCAGGGGAGGATCCGAGAGGCCCCGAAAATCCACCCCCCACATTTACCCAAAGGCCCCCCACCTTGCTTGCCCGCAGACATCCCCTCACCTTGGCAGCCCCTCTGCTATCTTCTCCCTCTCTCAGCGGGCACTGCCAGGCCCCATGGGTCTGTGGCTCTGTCCAGCGGGTTCTGGGCTGGCCCTAAAAACTCAATGTGTACACGCACACATCACAAACGCACACACTCATGCGCGCGCGCGCGCGCACACACACACACACACACACACACACACACAAACACGCACTCGGCTCCAGGCCTTCCTCTTCACTGTAAACCCTGGCTGCCCCGGCCTGCTGTTTCCGGCTTCTCTGTCTGCCCAGGTCCCTCCCTGGAGCTCTGACGACACAGAGAAGAGAAAGTGGACTGGAGGAGGAAGAGGAAGAAAGTGGGGTGAACATGTATGCCTGCTGTGCCTGGTGAGGAAGCACGATGGGGCGAGCAGGGCTGGAACTCCACTGAGTCACTGGAAGGAGGTTGACCTTCGCCTCCTCTAGCCCCCTAACAATGACCCATTTTTTCCTCTGTAAAGTCACCTACTATCTGAGAAAGGCATGCTACCCTCAACCGTCTAGCTACCGCGAAAACTTTCCCCGGGTCGGAGGTCGGGGCCCCGTGGGACTGTGCGCTGGGACATCTGACCCCACTGAGCTGTGCGCTCCCTCCAGTGGAGGACCCTGCGAAGTCGCCCGGAGCCTGCGGCCCCAAGAGCTAGGCTCACCTCCTTGCCAGGCGGGAACGCCTTAGAGGTCCCGTGACGCTGTAAGGAGGAAGTGGGGGAGGGGAGCCCTTCGCTGAGAATTCTGGAAGACTCCCGGCGCTGGAAGGGAGAGGGATCTGCACCGGGTACCAAGCCTCAGACTCTAGTGATAGCCACTGAGGGCTGCCAGGAGATTCCTAGGGGGCCAAGCTTGAATGTGCATATGCAAAGTGCCTGTTTGTTTCTAGGGGTAAACATGGAGACACACCCCAATACAAACATGTATAATTTCCCTAGCCACAAGACTGCATGCACAGGCACACAGGCACACGTTCACACATGTAGCAGCAGACTCACACATATGTCAGCACTCAGCCACTTAAGTGTTACACACACACACACACACACGTTCATACATGTAGTGGCAGGCTGGCACACATGTCAGCACTCAGAGTCACTTAAGAGTGTCACGCACACATTCTAACATGTAGCAGAAGGCTCGCACACTGACATGCACTCAGAGCCACTTAGAGTCACACACACACACACACACACACACACACCACGTGAGCGCGCTTGCTTCTAAGTCACCATAAAGAATTTAGAGAATTGTTCTGTAGTTTTCGCTGGGGGAGGATAGTAAGGGACCCAAACCTGATAGCCAAGGGGTGTGTGGAAGGATGGTGTTGGGTGGCTGTGTGTGTCAACTTAGAATTTTTGGCTCTCCCCTTTTTCAGGGCCTGGCTGAAGAGCCAAAGGCAGTCTTATGCTGCCCCCTGGTGCCTGCACTGATTTTCTCCTGCCCTCCCTGGGCGCTGTACATAGATGGGCATACATAGACGGGCCAGTCAGCAGGCGGTAGGAACAAACTGCACATGTGGTATAGGTGTGGACTCTGAGCTGGGTTCTTTGTGTTCAAGGTGCTAACTTAAGAACCGACTGGTTCTTTATCTGTAAAATGGGGCACACAGGGCAAGTTAGCCCATGCAGGGTGAGAATAGAGCATGAACACTGGCTTAGAGCAATGCTGGGGCGCAGTAAACAGCAGGCACCTTGGCTGTTGTTGCTTCATTATTTGGTGGGGTATTTGTTGTCGGTGTTGTTGTTAAGACAAGGGCTTGTTAGTCCAGGCTGGCCTTGAGATTGCACATAGCTAAGTGCAAACTTTTTTTTTTTTTTTTTTTTTTTTTTGGTTTTTCGAGACAGGGTTTCTCTGTATTGTTTTGGAGGCTGTCCTGGAACTCACTCTGCAGGCCAGGCTGGCCTCGAACTCACAGAGATCCGCCTGCCTCTGCCTCCCGAGTGCTGGGATTAAAGGCGTGCGCCACCACCTCCCGGCGCTAAGGGCAAACTTGAACTGCACCCTCCTGCCTCCACCTCCCCAGTGCTGGGCTTGGGCTCATATGGTGCTAAGAACTGAACCCAGGGCTTTTTGCATGTCAAGCAAGCATTCTGCCAGATGAGCCCCACCCCCAGTCAGTCGCATATTATTTGATTGGGTTTTTTTGTTTGTTTGTTTGGTTGGTTGGTTTGGTTTTTCGTTTTTCAAGACAGGGTTTCTCTGGACAGTCCTGCCTAGCTGTCCTGGAACTCACTCTGTAGACCAGGCTGGCCTCGAACTCACAGAGATCCACCTGTCTCTGCCTCCCAGTGCTGGGATAAAGGCGTGCGCCACCAACGCCTGGCCTATGTGATTGTTTTTAATGTGTGTGGATATGTTGTCTGCATGCATGTGTGTCCCGTGCAAGCCTGGTCCTCTCAGACACCAGGAAGCCTGGTCCTCTCAGACACCAGGAAGCCTGGTCCTCTCAGACACCAGGGGAGGGCTTCACATCCAGGAAACTGGGGTTACAGGTGGCCGTGTACGACCACGTGGGTCTTGGTAATCAAATCTAGGACCTGTGGAAGAGCAGTCAGAGCTCCTAACCACTGAGCCACCTCTCCAGCCCCGGACACTATTGTTATGGCCCAGAATGCATGTTAGGTTAGGAAAGTAGGTTCTCCATCTCACCCAGAGGTTCTTGAACTGGGGAAGGGAAATACCGTAGCCCCAAAGACAGAGCCTAGAAGACGTGTGTGTACCTCTATGCAAGCAGGGGATGGCAGGCAGGAGTCTGTCCAGAGACTGGTCCAGCAAGTAATGTTTACACTGAGGTATGAATGCGAGGGAACTCCTGGCACACACCCTTTCTATGTGTTTCCAGGTGCCCACTGTACATACAAATGTCCCCAGACGGTAGTGGAAGCCAGGCTCTCCCGTCTGAAGACCACAGGAGAGACAAAAGGCGCTGTGCTGCAGTGGGCACTGGGATACAGTGGGTGACTAGGGCGCAACTCGTTAGAGATTGTGTGATTGTAGGGTCAGGCCAGCTTTCATTAATGACACCCATCTGCATGGCAATTCATCGCCCCGCCTTCCCTCCAGGCCCCGCCTCCCACCCAGTGCCCGCAATGATGAAGTGAAGGAAAGCACTGGGGTGGGGGACAACTTTATGGTGTGAGAACTTCAGGCTACAGCCCAATAGTGAGTCACAAAAGCAATCTGATGGGTGTATCAGTTTTGCTAGGGCTGCTATAATGAAAACATAGCAAGCTGGGTAGCTTAGACAATAGGAATTTGACTCATGGTGATGAAAGGTAAAATCCCAAGATCAAGGTGTTGCCAGGTTGTTTTTTTTTTTTTTCTGAGGACTATGAAGGGCTTTAACTATTAATTTTTCAAGGAACATAGCTCATCTCGTAATAGTCTCTTGACCACTTTTAAAAAACCAAGTGGGTTGGGTGGTGGTGGTGCACACCTTGAATCCTAGCACCCAGGAGACAGAGGCACGTGGATCTCTGTGAGTTCCAGACCAGCCTAGTCTACAGCATGCATTCCAGGACAGCCAGGACTACACAGAGAAACCCTCTCTCAAAAAACTAAATAAAGCCGGGCGTTGGTGGCGCACGCCTTTAATCCCAGCACTCGGGAGGCAGAGGCAGGCAGATCTCTGTGAGTTCAAGGCCAGCCTGGTCTACAGAGTGAGTTCCAGGACAGCCTCCAAAGCTACAGAGAAACCCTGTCTCAAACAAAACAAAACAAAACTAAACTAAATAAATTTCTAATCTAAATTTAAACTTAAAAATAAATAATAATTAAAAACTAAATAAATAAAATGGAATAGAAGGAGTTGGAGACATGATTCAGTGTTAAGAGCACTGGCTGCTCTTCCAGAGGAGCCAAGTTCAATTCTCAGCACCCAGGTGATAGCTCACAGCTGTCTGTAACTCCAGTTCCAGGGGATCTGATGCCCTCTTCTGGCCTCCTAGGGCATCAGGCACATATGCGGTACACAGACATACATACATGCAGGCAAAACAGCAACACACACATAAAACAAAATAAAATAGGATAAAAAGTAATAAATAGGCCGGGCGTTGGTGGCACACACCTTTAATCCCAGCACTCGGGAGGCAGAGGCAGGCGGATCTCTGTGAGTTCGAGGCCAACCTGGTCTTCAGAGTGAGTTCCAGGACAGCCTCCAAAATAATAGAGAAATGCTGTCTTGAAAAACAAAACAAAAAATAATAAATAAAACATCAGTAAGTACCTGGGCATAGTGGCACATGCCTTTAATCTGAGCATTTCATAGGCAGAAGCATAAGGATCTCTGCAAGTTCAAGACCAGCCGGGTCTACATAGAGAGTTCCAGGACAGCCTGGGCTACATAGAGAGATTCCTTCTCAAAAACAAAAACAAACAAAAAGTGAACATATATATCCAGGGTAATCTAACGCCTCCAAGACACTGCATTCATGTGCACATACCCTCATGCACACACACATCTACACATAATAAAATAATAAAAATAAATGCTTGAAAAAGGTGTGTGGGTGTGTGCTGTTTTTGAGACAGAGTTTCTCTGTGTAGACATGGCTGTCCTGGAACTCACTCTGTAGGCCAAGCTGGCCTTGAACTCACAGAGATCCACCTGCTTCTGCCTCCCAAGTGCTGGGATTAAAGGAGTGTGTCAACATGCCCTGCTAAAAGATATTTTAAAAAGTTAAAAACAGAGAAAAGCCAGTGTTTCTCTGCCTCACAGTGTTGTCACCAGATGTGTTCCCTAGCGACCACTCCAGCCCCATGCTTGCCTACCTGCTGCCACATGCCGTCATGGTCTCTAACTCTCTGGAACAACGAGCCCCAAATTAGCTGTTTTCTTTTATGAGTTGTCTTGGTCATGGTGTTTTGTTATGGCAATAGAAAAGTAAGTAAGACAAATTGTTCAGTGAACCCTTGTTCCCATTTTCTGTGTGCATATGACTCCCAGACTAACTTTCTAGTGCAGGCTGTGTTTATTTAAAACGAACCAGCAAAAAGGACCGTAAGATGGCTCAGTGAATCAAGCATGACTGACTTGAGTTTGAGACCTGGAACAGGAGTAAAAAAGTTGGCATGGCGATGCACCTTGCTGTCAATACCAGCACTCAGGCACGTAGCTCTCTATGAGTTCAAGACCAGCCTGGTCTACATACTGAGTTCCAGGACAGCCAGGACTGCATTGTGAGACCTTGGCCCCTCTCCCACAAACAGGACATATTTGATGATGCACATCTGTAATCCCAGTGCTCCTATAGCAGGATCCGGGGTGGTGGTTCA